ATCTATCTATCTATCTATCTATCTATCTATCTATCTATCTATCTATCTATCTATCTATCTATCTATCTATCATATTTGTATAGCCGCCCATCTCCCCAAAAAGTGGCTCTGGGAGGCATACAAGACTTAGTTAAAAAGAAAACAAATATAGTTTCTTGGTTTATTGAGAAAACAGTAAAACAGTCATTATTAAAACTATAAAAACTATAAAAAAGCACACAGAACAAGAGAGGATGATGTTAACCATAGTAAGGTTAGCCATCGCAAAATCTCCCCAGTCCCTTATGAGACAATTGCTTGCTTGTTGGAGGACATGCCATGGCATTCCCATGATACTAGTGATCCACCAGTAGAGTGCTGGAAGTCAAAATTCAACTGCTCAGGAACCTGCAGAAATGAGATTTCTTTCCCCTGCTTTCAGAGGAATGGGCATTTGTATGCATGTTTCCCAGTGTTTGTGTTTGGTCTGGTTTTGATTAGAGCAGAAGACTCTGTCCCATGACCCCCATCTCCCAGTCCCCCATTTGCAAACAACAGAAAGTGAGAGCAATGTGAAGCAAAGGTAGGCTGGACATAGTCTCTGTTGGGAACAGTTTGCAATCCCAACAGGTTATAGTGTGGTAGGGGCATTCAATAACGTTTAGTACTATGTACTTCATTCAGAGAGATCTGATTCTTGGCATAACCAGACGGGGCAATCTTTCTTCCTAAGAACCTTGACAAACTAACACCATTTTAAAAAGCAGCAGCATGTCAAAGCTTAGACAAAATAAGAGGAGTTATTTATCAGGGACAGCAATCAGAAAAAGGGGACTGTCCCTAGTGAAGAGAAACAATCTGGAATGTGCCTTTTGCTTTAAAAAAGGCCCTTCCTCTTGGAATTTCCTCCCAATGCAAATTTCAGAGGGATTTTCCCTGGACTGCAGTTAAATCCCCCTTCATGCTGACTCTGAATGCATTTGTACTAGAGGACTTTGTGATATGCCTCTGCTGTCAAAGATCCATGATCAGAGGTTGCTATTAGCAGAAAAAGGCTACCCAGGTCGGAGGCTGCATCCATCTTTGGCAGTCTCCAGACTGACAGGGATCCCCAGAATTCTCTCTCTTCCACACTGAAAGGCCTATGAAGTTGGAACAGGGAAACACTGGCTTCCCAAGGATTCCTGAATCCTTCCCGCAAACAATCTAGGCATTACAGGCAGAGATCTATTATCTCACTGGTGGATTTAGTCGCCAGTTAGACAATTCAGAGTTGGGAGTAGTCCTTCCTGCTAATAGATCATTATTCGTTGGCTACTACCCTCTGGAATCCAGCCAAACAAACGCCTGAAGTTTTCCTTCAAGTTATAGTCAGTTAGAACATTATTTTGCTCTTTATAATACTTGCATCCAATCCCTGGGGATCACTCACACAAACGCTTTAAAAACAAGGACTTGTCATTCTGATAATGAACGATTACCTTCGTGCCAATGAAGTAGTT